TATATATATATATATATATATATATATATGATATGATACTAATGTTTTTTCGTTTTGACTCAAATTTTCAGTTTGGTACTACAATTTATAGTCAGTCAAACGAAATAATTAATTAATTTTTTTCCAGTTTGACTCATATTTTCAATTTGATTCGATTCATCAATTTTCCTTTTATATCCATAATCATGTTGTCTTTTTGGATTTTACTTGGAAATGAGCAATCAACATTTATAGTAACATAAATTCTTGTTGTGGAAATTATCAACAATAAATTCGTCAACTCTTGATATAAAGCATCATATTAACAAAGGTGGTGGTATACATGTGTTCATATTCTTCTACTTTTCTACATCTAAAAAATCAGGTTAGTTCTCTGTTTGGTGCTATTTTGTGTTAATTAATTTGGTTCCTAACTAGTTTGGTATATATCAACATTATCATCTTTATAAAATAAGTTTATGAATTTAGGCAATGTTGAGGCATCAAAAAATATATGGACGATTATTGTTATCGCTATTTTTTCTTCTGAGTTACAATGGGGTTCAAGGAGAAACAAAGTTATCCAAACTGGAAGATATAGAGATGGAGAAACAACTTAAATTTTTGAACAAACCGGCAGTCAAAACAATTAAGGTATATTTTTGCAAATTTGTGTGCTTACTTCTTTCTAAAGTGAATAATAAATTTATGAGTTTTGGTTCACAGACTATATACGGAGATACATATGATTGTATGGATTTTTATAAACAACCGGCATTCGATCATCCGTTGTTGAAGAATCATAATTTTCATCCTCAGGCATGTCTCCTAAGTGTCATTTTATGTTGAACTTTCTAGAAATGCATATACGATATTGAGAATTTGTGATGACTAATTTTATTTTAAATGCACAGATGAAACCTATTTTAGCAAGAACAAAGCAAAATGCAGGTAACTCATCAACTAGTTCGTCATCGTCGAGGATATGGTGAAATGGTAAAGGTTGTCCATTTGGAACAGTCCCAATTAGAAGAATTACAAAAGATGATCTTATAAGACAAAAAAATATGCCACCACCAGAAGACGTCACATTTGATACTCAATTGGTAAGATATTGTTATACCACTTTACTTTTTTTTTTGGCTAGAACAATTAACTTCCATGAAACAGAATCTTTAATTTCATTAATAGAATATAACAATCTAAAAACTCAAAAATTACAATTATAAAAATTGAAGAGTTTGTGTATAAAAGTTAAGCATATTTAGTTATGTTATAAATCCATTGAACTAATTGGATTGTCCATTGAGTTTATCCATAAATTTATACCTATCATCTATGTGTATTTCCTAGGTGATATGAACCTTTTTGGATAAGAATATATCTATTTATTCTGACACATAATATGGTGACCTTTGGAGTGATTTATCAACCTATAAATAGAATTGTTCATTCACCATTGTAAGTAAGACTTGAAGACATTTGAATAAGATGATCTCTACGTTCTACTCCTCATATCTTTGGTCTATATTGTTTGTAGTATATTGCTTATATTTTACAACAAGTTATCCATAATTTCGAAAATCTCATGTGTATTTTATTACTTCTGCACAGACTAACAACAATAGTGTGAGTGAGCCAACAGGAATGTACGGATCTTCAGGATACAAGGTACATAAATAAGAAAATTTATCATCATTTTTAAGTTCAAAATATGTCTTTTTCAACTTTACTAGGCCTTTGTTGTTTACTCAAAAATAAATCAATATAAACTAAATTTAACGAGAAAATACATTATAAGTTGAGAAAACTTCATTTACTATGTACAGGTTGCAATAGCTCGAACCAAAAATTATCCTGATAACAAATTTAGTGGAGCTGGAATGGCAGCTAGTATATGGAATCCTCCTGTTAAAGATGGACAACATAGTGCATGTCGACTGAAAATTCAAAAAGGATCTGATATTTTACAAGTTGGTTGGAGAGTAAAGTCAAAATTTATCAATAATATAATTAATTATTTTTTTTCAATTGTGGAAGTTTCGAATGTTTAGATTCATTGTCAACTAAATCATCACAATATCTGTATTTCGAATTCTAGGTGGACCCAACACTCTATGGGGATAACAAAGCTAGGCTTTTCATACATTTTCAAGTAAGTCTTCTTTTAATTTACTTCAATAATTTATATCTCAATTTTGTGAAACTAGTAATCTTTTTGTTTATCTATGTCCCTCAGTTTGCATATCTAGCTTATATATGAGAAAAAAAATTATATGTTTTGTAGGCCGGAAATAATCATTGTTTCAATACATTATGTCCTGGTTTTATTATAGTAAATACTGAGGTACCTCTTGATAAGACATTTCAACGTAATTCACAACGAGGAGAGACTTCATGGGAAGACACAATGGCTATCGCTCGTGTAAATTTTATGCTTCTCTTCTAGAATTTTCTTTCAATTTGGTTTAACTAGTCCTCAAAAATTATTACTATTTGAAATCGCCAAAATACTAACATAGACATTTCTTTCTAAAAAAAATTAAAGGATCAAGCTAATGGAAATTGGTGGCTTTTTATGGAAGAAAATCATATTCAAATTGGTTTTTGGCCTCAAAGGATCTTCACTAAGTTGACTAGCTTTGCCACAAACGTTGAATGGGGAGGAGTGGTATATAGTCCACCAGGTGTACCTAAACCTCCTATGGGATCCAATTTTTTTCCTGTGTTAGACTCTGATTATGATGCATATTGTAGGGCTATTACAGTGACAAATGATAAAGGTGAGACCATGAACCCAACTGAAACAACCACATTTGTCAACAATCCTGATATGTATTTTGTTTTCGATGTACATAATTTTAAGCATCATCATTTTGTACTCTATGGAGGGCCTGGTGATCAGATACAAGTTTAGGTCTTGTAAATTATTATCATCATGGTATTTAATTTCTATGCCAAATGAAATATAAAGAAGTTTTATCTACTTATACCTATCTAAATACTTCACATGTTTTTTTCATATATTTGCTTTCACTTTACACTGCTTTTGTCAATAATTTGATAATAGATTTGCAAGAAATATTCCACATTATTGTTTAACAAAATGAGTACATGATGCATTTGTTTGCAGTTATCCATAGAGTATAACAGAGCAAATGATGGTATAGCAACGAACTAGGAAATATGGTTTGAAGAATCTCGATAGAAGTTCTAGAACAATCTTTTGCGGGATTGGATTTTAAGCGAGAAACAAGAAACTCAAGATTCAAAAATGACTAGTTTAACTAGCCCCTAGTATAGTATTGTCACAATGGCCTGCAATTGCATTGCATCCTTCAGTAAAACGATCACAACTTTTTGTAATCAACAAGCGGTTTAGGTGTTGGAAACTAAACTTCAACATCCAATCGAATGGCAAACAAAACAGCATAATAGTGCTAGAGCCACAAGCTCTCATAAAAAACCAGTGAATATAACAGTTCATGACATCATAAGTGGAAGAGAAACTATAAAAGAGATCAACAGAAATAAAGTGAAAAGGCAAAATAACTGCAGTCAACTGTTATATCAGCTATTGTGGGAAGCATCATAATATACAAAAAGGATATCAACTTAGCAAAAGGCAAGTGTCAAATCAATTCAATCATTTCCATATACAATTACAGCAAGAAAACCTACAAACAAAAGGCAAATGAAAGATACAAAAGGGATTTGATTGCTCATGCCACTCGTACAGATTCCGTTCCCCTGGTGAAATGAAAAGCTCAATGCACTGGAGAAAAATGATGAAATCAAAAACAGGATTAAGCACGCTGAACCTCGTGATAACTAACTAGCAACTCTGAATTTGAGGAATGATGGCAGTTGAACTGATCTATTTTGTTGCTCATCTGCAGAAAGAATCGATAAATATAGTACAATAGAAGAGTCTTTGCAGACTTTAAATTCCCATAAAATGCTTGCATCACTCCTCAATTTACTGCATGAAGTTGCAGATGGAAACTCAAATCATTAATTTTCTTCACATCTCTAGCTTTAAGACTTCAATCCGAGCTTGAATCGTAGAAGTCACTGGGACATGGAGTCATGACTTCAGATTCGAGAATCTGAACAACCCTGTGCATTGTGGGCCTGTCGTCGGGGCTTGAAGAAACACACTGAGTGGCAACTGAAAGCAGGGAATCAAGGCTTTCAGTCTGCACTCGTTCACAAAGCGGATCAACTATCTCTGTCCGTCTATTCTCAGATGCTAAATAGTTCAGCTGCATGATGAGTATGACAGGGGTTTAGAAGACCAGTGATTTGAATAAAATACCTACAATGCAAGTCATATCATCCTACTCGGACTGGATACTTCACTACAAAAAGTGGGAAAAATCTTTTGCAAATAGTAAATAGGGTAATTGGAATGATTTTCTACCAAATGGTCCAATTTGTTTTGGGTTTTCATATAGTTTGATCAAACAACCATAAAACTATAGACTGATTTTGGATTGTTCTTAAAATTGATTTGATCAGTGACAATATTTGGTTTAGTCAGGTGCATATATCAATGATATGCGTTTCTTTTTAAAATGATTTAAACTTTTTTTTATCATTTTTTGCAGATTTTAACATTGTTTTGGTGCATAAACAGTCTTCTCCCTCAGGCTCTTACCCATTCCTACCTATCTGGAGGGAAAAGGCTCATCATTATTCCTCATTCTCCTATTTGCACTCTTCGGTTCATTTTGCTTCAAATTTGTCCTTATTGTCCCTATATAATTCTTCATGGATTAATGGCCACAAAGACTTAATACTGTTTTATATCGTTGCAAAACCATCATACTGATTGTCTACAGTACAAGTTTTACCTTAATAATTTTGTGCTCATACCACACTCAGTCCAGCCCTTATGCATACTCAACTAACCACCTCTTTTTGCTGCTTCTTTTTTGTTGAGAAACTAACCTCTTTTGGCTTATTGAGCCAAAAAATGCAGCTTAAAACACTTGTCACATCTAATCTTAAAAGTTGGAATTACTTGCCCACCAGCATGCTTCCCTCTACCTCTCTAACCTTAGTAATATCATTCTCACCCCCCCCCCCAACAACAAGGATAGGAGCATGGCAGTAGTTGCAAAATCAGTGGGAAGAGGAACTGGAAAGGAGTTGGGGTTGGGGCAAAAGCTAAAAGTAGCAAATAACTTTCCAGCCTTGCCCATTTAGGATCTCACGATATGCAATTATGGAAACATAAAACTACAGAGGAGAGGAACTACTTATGATGGTATGATGAATTAGCCCACTTAGTTTTTCTTTAGATAATTTTAAGTTTTAACCTTGCTCCAATAGAGACCTCAAGTGAAGCTCACATGCATCTCTGCAGTTTGGGCTCTAACAGCCAAAAAGAATGAGACCACGATAAATTATATGCATAACTAGAGATAATGGGCAAAATGGTTAACCATGCCAGCAAGTAGCCATGATGACATTTGTAGGTTTTAAAAAATAATGTTAGCTACCTCACAAAAAGAATGTAAGGAATTTCAACCAAGAGAGAATACACTTATGATTAGAAGTAAGATGCGCTTAATCACACAACATACCCAGCCAACAATATTGAAGCCCTTCTCAATATATGATGCATCAGTCGGCCGCTTCCCACTTATGACTTCAAGAACCAAAACTCCAAAACTATAAACATCTGTCTTTTCTGTAGCCCTACCACTCTGCATGTATTCTTGAAAAAAAAGATAGAGAAGAGAAACACATAAGCTGTAAAACAAAAGGCGATATATCAAGTGAAGCAGAAATCAACTGCCCAAAGTGAAAGCATACAAAATCAGATTTCCACATGGAATAGCAAGGAGAACTAAATTCTTTAAGCACATAGATAACCTCTCATCACATGTTACAACTTGATGCGGCAGAGATGAATATGCTAGAAAACAGTATGTTCGGTGCCTCAAGAGAAACCTTCGATGTGGAACCATTCCTCCCCCTCCCTCCCTCCCGCTGTCATTTAACTAGGCCTCATATTATCTTTTGTCAATATCAAGAAAAATAAGCATGAGAAAGAAATACATCACAGGTGCAACTTCTACAGACAAGCAGTAACCAGTTTGTATTTGAAAAGTAGTGAAACCTGATTACAGGAAGAGGAAACCAGATCGCTCTCTCCCCAGTTTCAACTATAGTAGCAGCAGAAATTCATTCCATGCATAGTTTAATATATGCAACTTCCTAAGTAGAAGGTGATGATAAATGTCTAATCATTGGGTGTACCTGGAGCTAAATACCCAAATGTGCCAGCTACAATTGTTGTGATGTGAGACTCCTCATCCCCCAGTAATTTGGCCAGTCCAAAATCAGATACTCGAGCCTCAAAGTTTCCATCAAGCAAAATGTTGCTAGACTTTATGTCACGGTGTATTACTCGAGGAGAACAATCGTGATGTAAATATGCCAGCCCTTTCGCGGCTCCCATGATTACAGTCAGCCGTGCACCCCAGTCTAACTGCTCAGATCTCTCTGTATAAAATATTTCAAAAATGATGTTTAAATGGACCCAAAAAACAATAGTCAAATCTAAAACTCTCAACCCTGAAGATATGAAAATATCTAAACAGCAACAGCAATTTAACATGCAAGATGAACTAGCTTAAAGGAATGTCATCATTTTTTATTATTACAGCAACTTGACATGCAAGATGAACTAGCTTAAGGGAATGTCATCTTTTTTATTATTCTCTTTGCTTCCAGCGTTGTTTTCCACCCTAGATGCCGAAAGCAAACATCATGTCACTGTCCACTTCCCAAACATGACACTCATTTTGTTATTCTATTGGATAGAAGAACACTGGCTCATCGAGATATTCAACAATTTTTGACAAACATTATTTTTTCCTAGTGATTGTACCATACTATGGATTAAAATTAGCTACATATTACTATTGTACTGTCATTTCCCATAAGTGTGCAAGTGGTTCTCATGCAATATAGCTGCATAAAAGGGCTGCAAGCTAGCCATCTGGTAAACTAAAGCAAAGGAATTAAATTGTGTAAATTCAAAGTTTCTTATAAAAACGAAGTCCATATTCTAAGTTCTACAGCAATACAACAACTAAGCCTCAACCCAAACAAGTTGGGATCAGCTATATGAATCCTCAGACCATGTTTCCATTTAAGCTCAAGTTATGTCATCATCATAACAAAAAATCTATAGCAATATTTACACAAAATATAGAACACATATGAAACATCAATGACACACCAAGATATTCTTTGGTGCCATCAGAGTGTCTTGGTTAGTTAGCAAGTTACTCTCCACTATTTCGTAACTGTCTAGACGTGAAAACATTTCCGGAGTGCCATCTGCACCAGCCAAAGATGTAATCATTATCCACTTTTACTTGTATTAAAAGGTAAGAAATTTATAGGATCAAGCCAATGGGTACTAACCCAAGTAAGTTTAGAGTTGCATTAGGACATCATCACCAAGTTTAGTCAATCCCATTCAGAAACTTTCTCCAAAGGCTGACAATATTTTTCCAATCAATTGCATATTGAACACTGGTTTTACAGCATTCCCTTCTGTCCCAGTGACAATCTGGCAGACTTTTTGGGACTATATTTCACTGGTTGAATCAATCAAAATAGCAGTAGAAAGTGATCCCTGTTCATAATTTATCCTCATTCTTACTAGACCCCAGTCTAGTATGTTTGCTCTTATCAGCATATGAATTTTGCATTTAAAAAACAGCAGGTCTTTCATGCTTCCACAAAAGCATATATATCCAATATAACTTATGTTTCTGTTTACTGTTACTATTATTAACTTGCGCGTTTTATCTCCCAACTGAACCACACAACCCAAATTTCAATCAGGTGTTATACAGGAAAGATAAATAACCCTATTGTGCTATGAATATC